CGCGGACACCCCCTCCACCCCCCCGTGACCTGGACGGCACCGTCCACGCAGACTGTGGACAAGGACACTCCCGTGACCCTCCTGTGACCTGGACGGCACCGTCCACGCAGACTGTGGACAAGGACACTCCCGTGACCCTCCTGTGACCTGGACGGCACCGCCCACGCAGACTGTGGACGCGGACACCCCCCGTGACCCCCCCGTGACCTGGACGGCACCGTCCACGCAGACTGTGGACACGCGCGGCTGAACATTGCTCCAGCGCGCCACCTCGTGGTCGCCCTCGGAACTGCAGCGTCTGCCTCTAAGCACGCGATGTGCAGGGGCGTCGGACCCCGCTCGTAGCTGACCCTCCCGTGGGGTTTTGTACTAGGCAATAAAGACACTGCTCCCCTCAGTAGACAGCCTGCGGTTACCCATCGAGTTTTTGAAGGCTGTTTACTTCAAAAGTCTTGCTCCCTAGTCTGGAAGGTGCTCTGAAGCCTGTCCACTTTGGGTGACTCTGCTGGTCTTTGAAATCCCAAAGACATAGCTTTCAGCTTCACAGTGACACAGAAGCCACGACAGCACTGCACACTGAGCGAGGAAGAACCCATGCTTTGAACTGTGGTGATGCTGAAAGTATTGACTATCCCACAGACTCCCAAAAGAACTAAAACTGCCTTGTGGGAGTGAAACCAGGGTGCTCCTTGAAGCAAGGGGGGGGGGTGTGGAACGTCACTTCACATACTTTGGGCATGTTATCTGAGGGGCTAGTCCCTGGGGAATGACATCATGCTAGGAAAGGGGGGCTCAGTGTAAGAGGGAAGTCCCTCAAGGAGATGATTGACACGGTGACCATAGCAACGGGCTTGAACGTGGTGGAGACTGTGAGGGCAGCAGGATAGGGCACGGCTCTGCCCTGGTCTTCATAACGGTGTTGTGAATTGTAGTCCACTCGATGGCCCCTCAGAGCAGCAGCCCATCAGTAATAACACCACTGAAGCTGACAGACTCATCAAAGTGGGATCCACATAGGAATGCCCTCAGCTCCCCTGTCAACACTAGAAACGAGTCTTCTCTATCCTTCCTTAGATAGAGGAGCTCTGGTGGTGTAGTGGAAGGAACTGTGCTGTCAACCCAAGGGTACGTGGTTCGAATCCATCCACCAGATGCCCCAAGGGAGAAAATTAGGCAATCTTCTCCTGGATGATTTCCTGTCTCTGAAACCTACTGGAGGGTGAGAGTGGTCAGTTCCACTTTGATGGTACACAACAACAACAGAGGTGGGAGAAAGGGGCTGTCTGCCCCCGTAAATAGCACAGCAGATCTTTTCTGCCCTGCAGGGTCTCTGCGAGTCACAGTGCACGTAATGGCAGCGGGTGTGGCTTTGATTGGGTTTGTAGATGGGTGGCGCCCTGGTGTCACAGCAGTTAAGTACTTGAATACTATACGAATGTTTGGCAGTTTGAACCCACCATCCGCTCCCCAGGAGAAAGTAGTGGCAGTTGGCTTCCATAAAGACATTCTTTGTGATTGCTGTTTTGGAGGCCCCACCAGGTGGTTTTTACACAAATGGTTGCTATGGCAATATCTTGTTATATATATTTTACTGTAATTGAGAAGGAAACCATGTGGCATGGTGTTTAAAGTATTTGGCTGCTGACTGAAAGGTTGGTGGTTCAAATCCCAGCTGCTCCAGGTAAGGAAGATGCACTACCCTGCCCCCGTACAGATGGACAGACTCAGAGACCCATCTTACAGGGCCCCTGTGAGAAGACGCCAACCGGATGGCAATGGATTTGGCTTTGGCTTTGGCTTTGGCTTTGGCTTTGCAGACGAGAAACTGAGACCCAAGTCCCACAGCCAGCATGTGGCCCAGCTGTAGAGCCGTGTGCTTAGCCCGCAGAACCCACTGGCTCCTTGGGGCCAGGCCCTAGAGGTCTGCTTCCCTGACTGGCAGCGTCAGTTCTGTGCAAACTGGAGGAGGAACTAGGGAGATGCAGGGATGGAGCAGGGAGGTGGTCCCAGCCTAACTCTCCCCATCACCTCACTCAAGCCTTCCCTGGCTCTCAGGCCTGCAGGGACGGGGCATGCGGAGCTCTGCAAGCCCAGGTGCCAAGAACCATGAGTTCCAGATTCTGCTACGGCCTTGCCTTCCCCATCTGGGAAGTGGGCAAGCTCAGAGCCTATCTTCAGTAAGGACATGAAGTTGAGGTTCAGGCCCAGCAACTGAGAAATCTATCCATGGGGATGGGGAGGGAGGGAGTTGAAGGGGCAAGGGGGGCCCTCAGACCCCCAGATGCTGGATCCTATCAGTGCTGAGGTCGGTGAGGCCTTGTAGCCATTCCAATGAGCAGAGCGGGTAGGAAGAGCTGTCTTGTGTGGGCTGGGGGCTCATGGGGAAGTGGAGATAGAAGGGATGGCAGGATGCGGGGGGAGCAGGGAATCTCAGCTGACAGGGCTGAGGGACCAAGAATGAGATGGCAGGAGATGGTGGTGCTGGGGCCTGCCGGACAAGGGGCTTGTGGGTGGGGCTATGTGAATGAGGGGGGTTTGCAGTGCAGCTGAAGGCCCCATGGGCAGGGATCTGGAAGCAGGGCTGTGAGGGGCTCTCTGGCTAAGGGTCAAACAGTGGTCCTTGGTGGTTATTCAGGAAGCTTGGGGAAAGAGGACCCTCCCCTGAAGCCAGACCCTTGTCAGGCTGGCCAGGTGCACTGAATCCCTCCTCCATCCTTAGACCCCCTACACTGGGTCTCTCCTGAGCTCAGTCTCCCTGTCTGCTCAAGGGGGCAGCCCTGATGGTGATGGAGCCGGATCAGATGGGGGTGAGGATGAGGAGGCCTTCCTGGGCATGGATGCCAGGCCAAGATGGGGGCGCTGTGTGTGCCTCCAGGGGCTGCAGGCCCCTTGGATGGACCGCTACACAGCTCAGCGTCCACTGACCCCAGGATGGCTTCTTCTTCCTCATCCCCTCCTCACTCCCCCAATCTGGAGAGAGGGGCCAATGGACAGAGGCGGGGTCAGCTCTCAGCTGCCCTGAGGCCCCCATACTCCACCCATGTGACCACCAAGGAGTCAGCACTCACGTCCAGGTCAGGCCCTTAGGCCTCATGCCTACTAAGCAGCCTTCTCTAAACCCGTCCCGGCCTCTGCCCCTGCCCAGCTTGTTCTCAATGTGGGCTACAAACTTCACCAGAGGTGCCCCCTGGGACCTGGGCACACAGTCCTCCTTGCCTGGTGGGCACTTTCCAGGCCCATGTCACAGATGAGCAAACTGAGGCCGGCGCATCATGACCCGGGTCGGCTATGCGTTCATGCAGTCAACACACATTTATTGAGCATTGACTTGGTGCCGAGCCCAGGATGGGCTCGGGGGACTTGGAGACGAATGACACGTGGAGCCGCCCCGAGGCCCTCATGGCCTTCCAGGGCGACGGCCACATCCACGGACACTCACGATGCAGTGTGGTCAGTGTGGAGTTAGAGGTAGCACAGGTGACCGAGGGAGCACAGACGAGGGGCCCCGGCCCGGCCGGGGATGGCAGAGGGGCTTCCTGGAGGAGGTGACACCCGAAGAGGGCTTCAGGGGGTGAGTGAGTTAGGGTGTCTCAGCAAAGGGGGGCCTGTGCAAGCTTCAGAGGGGCATGTGAGGAGGACAGTGGTCAGCAGTGGGGAGCGCTCAGGAGATGAAGCAGTTGATGGTGGGCAGAGGCCTGCTGGGAGGCAGTGTGGGGGACCAGGACTGGAAGGGTGTTGGGGAGATGGGGGGTGGCCCTCAGCTAGAGTCTGATCCTGCCTGGAGCCCCCAGAGGCCTCAGCAGGGTGGCGGGGGCGCAGGCTGCCAGTCTCGAGGCCGCAATGTGCACAGCACGGGGTCCAGAGGCTTGAGAGTGGCCTGCTCCTGCAGGCCGAAGCGCTGCCCGGGCACCAAGCGGAACTCCAGCCTCTGCAGCAACTTGGCCATGACCACCTTCACCTCCATCTGCGCTCGGACAGCGAGAGCATGGGAAGAGGGGGCACTGTGTATGAGCCTCCACAAGGGGCCCCAGCTCTGGCCTGGGGACCTCTGGACAGGTCACCTCCCTGCACATGGCCCTGGGGTATGCACCTCCTACCTGAGCGAACTGCTGTCCAATGCAGGAGCGAGGCCCCAGAGAGAAGGGGAAGTAGGTGAAGCGAGGCCTGCAGGGAGAGAGGGGTCAGCAGGTGGGAAGCCCCGTACCCCGCAGTGGACAGAGCTTGGGGCCAGGTGGCAGACATCACAGAAGAGAAGCCTGGTGACCTTTCATGAAAAATGACAGCCAGGCCAGGCCTGTGGAGCCATTCCATGCTGGACGCACGGGCTCACTCGGAGCTGAGACCAGCTCACTGTGCTTGGTCTCCATGCACCCTCTTCCCATCCTCCACAGGGAGCTGCTAATAGCCCTGCGCCACCACAAAGAGCTTGCAGCTTGGAGAGGCTAGCACGAGGTCATGGTCACTCATAGAGTTGGCCCCATGTCCAGCTCTGGATAGAGGCTGGATGTAGACTTGGGTGATCAGCTTCCTGAATGTCCCCCAACCCACCCCTGCTTCACCTCATGATCTTAGTAACTCCTGTAACAGCATGTTCCCATTTCTCAGGTGGGATCGTCAAGGCTGACAGAGGGAAAGTCTCTTGCCCAGGCCACACAGTCCCCAGTATTAGGTACTGGTTGTGAGCATGGGCTGTGGAAGCAGGTGGAACTGGGTTCCAGCTCACATTTTGGTTGTGTGTCCTTGGGCAAATGACTTCTCTCTAAGCGGGATTCCTCCTCAGAAGACAGTAACTCATAGTCCCCTCACATATGACCCAAACAGGAAGTAGCTGTGGTCATCGTTGTCCCTCCAGGCGTTCACCTTGGGGCAGCGCGATGAGAGACTTACTTGGGTGCTCCAGGGCTGAAGCGGTCAGGGTTGAACGTCAGTGGATCCTCAAAGTACGTTTCCATCCGCCCCATGACATAGGTGCTGAACTGTTGAGAAGAGTCACTGGCCTCCGTCCCACCCTCAGTTCCCCTCACACCCTTCTAGCCACTGTAACCACTGAATTCCAGTGGGGCAACTCAGAGAAGAGGGGCCATGGCCACCCCATCACCATGTCCCCACCAATCATCGCTCTACTTACCCACCTCTCCAACCACGACCTCTCCAATCACATTTCCAACCACGCACATTTCCAACCATGACCTCTCCACCCACCCACCCCTTCAACCACCCCCCTCCACCCATCACCTTGCCAATCAAGCTACTTCTCCAACCATCCACCTCTCCAATCACCACATTTCCAACCAACCGCCTCTCAAACCACCAACTCTCAACCTACCATCTCTCCACCTCCTCTTGACCTCCATCTCTCTACCCACCACCTCTCCACCCACTTGTCTCTCTATTCACTATCTTTCCACCCACCCAACTCCCCAGGAAGAAGTAGGATTACACTGGCCTCTGAGAAGTCCATAAGAGGAAGAACAGGGCGTTCAAACTCCCAATACACCCACTGTTGTTGTCAGACTATAATTATTACACTATTTAACGGATGGACAAAATGAGGTTTAAGAGAGGTTTGCTGACGGCCTGAAGTCAGCAGTGAGTAAGATCCAAACACATGTCTGACTTTGCAAAGCCTCACTCTCTTCTTGTTGAGGCAAGGACAACTCACAGTGACCCTCTGAACAGCAGACCTGGACCCTGCCCTACCCTGTGCCAACCTCATCGTCTTCAAAGACAATACACTCCAGCCCATTGCAGCAGTCACTGTATCAATCCTTCCGGTTGAGGGTCTTCCTCTCCCTTGATGCCCCTCCACCTTCCCAAGTATGAGGTCCCTCTCCAAAGAACAGCCTCTCCTAGCAACATGCTCAGAGTATGTGAAATCAAATTTTGCCATCCTTGCCTCCATAAAGCACTCTGGCTGTTTTTTCCCAAGACATATTTGTTTGTTCTTTTGGTGGTCCAAACCACAACTCAAAGGCACTCATCTTCTGTCGTCCTTACTCATTGTCTAGCTTTCAGATGCATGGCAAGTGACTGAAAAGACCATGGACTAATTGGGGCGCATCTTGGTCTTCAAACTGACATCCATGCTCGTCCGTATCTTGGAGAGGTCCCTGACAGCGGACTTCCCCAAAGCAGTCTGTCTCTTGTTCTCCTGAATGCTGGTACCAAGGGTGTTGATTGTGGATCCAAGTGAGGTGAAATAGTTGACAGCTTCCACCTTTTGCCCATCTATCTCAACGTTGTCTCATTCTCTAGACCTGTGAAAACTGCTCACGTCCAAAGGTTTCTCCTCAATGTCAGGCTTGCTTCGATGGGTCTCGGGGAGCAATGGTCCTCCATCCACGGGGCGTAGTGGCCCCTGATTGGAATAAAAACTCTCACACATCTGTCTTTGGAGAATCGACAGCCATGCTCACCTCAATCACAGGACCCTGTGTGCTGTCTTTTCCACCATTGGACAGACCTTCATACAAGTCTACACCACCTCTGGTCTCTGTGCCAAATGGATGGCTGGAGGATAGGGAGCACAGCTGGAGAATAGGGAGGACGGCTGGAGGATAGGGAGGAGGGCTGGAGGATAGGGAGGATGGCTGGAGGATAGGGAGGACGGCTGGGGGATAGGGAGGAGGGCTGGAGGATAGGGAGCACAGCTGGAGGATAGGGAGCACAGCTGGAGGGTAGAGAGCACGGCTGGAGGATAGGGAGGATGGTTGGAGGATAGGGAGGATGGTTGGAGGATAGGGAGCACGGCTGGAGGATAGGGAGGATGGTTGGAGGATAGGGAGCACAGCTGGAGGATAGGGAGGAGGGATGGAGGATAGGGAGGACAGCTGGAGGATAGGGAGGATGACTGGAGAATAGGGAGGAGGGCTGGAGAATAGGGAGGACAGTTGGAGGATAGGGAGCACAGCTGGAGGATAGGGAGGATGGTTGGAGGATAGGGAGCACAGCTGGAGGATAGAGAGGACAGATGGAAGATAGGGAGGACAGCTGGAGGATAGAGAGGACGGCTGGAGGATAGAGAGGATGACTAGAGAATAGGGAGGAGGGCTGGAGAATAGGGAGCACAGCTGGAGAATAGGGAGGACAGTTGGAAGATAGGGAGCACAGCTGGAGGATAGGGAGGAGGGATGGAGGATAGGGAGCACAGCTGGAGGATAGGGAGGACAGCTGGAGGATAGGGAGGATGGTTGGAGGATAGGGAGCACTGCTGGAGGATAGGGAGGACAGCTGGAGGATAGAGAGGATGGCTAGGGGATAGGGAGCACAGCTGAAGGGGTGATGGAGGCTGGAGGGGTGAGGGAGGCTGGAGGGGCCTGAGCTCTCAGAAGTGTTGGGGAGAACACTGGAGAGGTTCTGAGGACAGCAAAGGGCATCGCCTATATGTCAGATATTATTGCCAAGTGTGCACAATTGTATTGCTCACTTTCTCAATACACCATGGTTTAGGTACTATCATCAGTCCTCAGCCTGTAAGGATGAAAACCAAGACAAAGACCAAGGCTTTTCTTGAGATGCCCCTGAGAGCCGGGAGCAAGGATGGCATTGGAACCTGGGTCTGTCCATTCAGAGTCTGCATGGTTCTTCAATCCCAAGTTCAAAGCCAACTACAGGGATTTGCCCTGCCAAGTGTAAAAACACCCTAAAGGCACAATCAGTCATTAAGCCAGAGGTAGCATTGATACAAGAATAGAAAAGAGAGCCACAGAGATGACACCATGATAAGTGGAGAGAAGGCTTCGGACTGGAGACCAGGTTTTCCATATGTAAATATACTACGTCTCAACATCAGGAACACAAACATCCTCACAATTGGATGCAATTATCATGATAAACAGAGGAAAGACTGAAGTTGTTGCATTTTAACAGGGATGACAGCAGCAGTCAAGAAATTAAAAGATATGTTGCATTGAGAAAGCCTGCTATCAAGGACCTCTCCAAAGTGCTAAAGAGCAAAGATATCCACTTAAAGACTAAGGTGTGCCTGATCCAAATGATGGTATTTGAAATTGGGTGTTTTATACATCTGAAAGTTAAATCATGAATAAGGATGACAGAAGAATTGATGCTTTTGAATTGTGACAGGCAATCAACTTGATGACAGTGGGTTTTGGAAGTAACTTTAAAAAAATAACTTTAGAAATGTAATTATCTACTGATCTGACGTATCCTCATCTAAGTGGATGCTGAATTCTTTTTTCTGAAGTTCCTTGTAACTATGTAACCTACAAGTCAACAAATCACTGCATTTTCAAGCCATTCCTTTCTATCTTCTTATATGAATTCTCTGTCTCCTGTTGGACCGTGTAGTTCTGAATCCGGTGGACCTTGTGATTTCAAATTTGCAAGCTGCCTTGCCCATCAATAAAAGCAGCAGTCAAGGAGAGCATCCTGCTGAGTGAACTAACTCAGTCCCACAAGGACAAATATTGTATAAAACCACTATGGTAGAATGAGTATAAAGATGCAGGAGGAGTGGGAGAGGGTGGACGCAGCGGATGAGGACATGCAGGGGGAGGCGGGCTTAATCATGAGGTTGTACAATTTTATGGGGGGGTGAGGGAAAGCGAAAGAATTTGTCCTTAAAAACAATGTATTCATATTTACACAATGGAATACTATGCAGCTTTGAAAAATAAGGAACTTATGAAATATTATGCAAAATTGATTACCCTGGAGGACATGATGCTGAGTGAAATATCTCAGTCACAAAAGGACAAATATTGTATAGGGCCACTGTTGTAAAATGGGACTGACATCAGGGTTGAGGGAAGACAGAAAAGGAGGGGAGGAGCGATATATATTGCATTGAAACAGATGAGGGAGGGAATTGTTGAAAAGGGACGTATGAATGGGTATTCTTGTCATTACAGGAGTCCAGAACTAAGGCTGCACAGTGGAGTGGACTTGGGGGGAAGGGATTGCATAACAATGAAAGAGTTTTTCTTTCTTTTCAAGGAGAAGAGTGAATTGGGGGAGGAGGTGGGTAGGGAAAAAAGTGCAACAATGAATGACTGGAAACCCTAAGTCTCTGTGAACTTTCATTACAATTAATTTTAAAAAACACAATGTATTCAAATTTTATAAATAAACTAGTTGTTGTTATGTTGTTGATTGCCTTCGAGTCGAGCATGACTCAGTAATAATTATCAACACTTATCAAAGTTCATCGACTTTCATAAATAAAGTAGTAGAAAATTTTAAGGAAAAAAAAAGCAGCAGTCAAGAAACCAAATAACGTACTGTATTGGGCAAATTGGCTGTTAAGGTCCTCTTGAAAGTGCTAAAAAGCAAGAACTTTGTCTGAAAAGACTGAGATGCACCTGCCTCCAGCTATGGGCTTTTCAACTGCTTCCTATGCATGTGAAAGCTGAACGATGAATAAGGCAGACGGAAGAAGAATTGGGGCAGGAGGCAGAGAGATGGAAGAAGGATTGATATCTTGAATTGTCGTTTTGGTGAAGAATATTGAATGTCCTGCAGACCGCCAGAAGAATAACCAAATCTGTCGTCTAGGAAGGAGTGAATCCAGGGTGTTCCCAGGAAGCAAGAATGATGGGACTTTGTCTCAGAGACCGGGAGCATGTTATCAGAAGGGGCCAGGCCCTGGAGAAGGACTTTACGCTTAGAAAACTGGAGAGTGAGGATGACCCTGAAGGGATGGACTGAGGCAGCGGCTGCATTAACAGGCTAACGTGCAGCAGAGACTGAGGATGGTGCAGACCAGAGCTCCGCATTGATGTCCGCGGGTCACTGTATGCGGGGTCATTCTGATGGTGTCTAACAACAGTCTTATACTGGACAGCGTGGGTGGAGAGGAAACAACCTCCCGGGCTCAATGAGAAGGCATGGGGTAACCAGCAGGTCCTATGACCAGAGTCACAGCCTCCCCGCACCTCAGGTGGGGAACCCCGACATGGCACACACCAGGAGTGGGGTATTGCCAGGGACTCTGACCCCATCGATGAAGGTCTCCTCCTCCAGTCGGCGAAAGGTCCCCCAGGCAGGTGGGTACAGGCGCAGCGACTCTTTGAGGACCTGAAAAGCCACACAGAAAAAACGATTCGCATCCCTGAGCATGGTGCTTCTGGGCCCACCTCGGCCACCCGTATAGAGCTGACCATGCCCCTGACCCCAGCCCTGTCTGCTCCCCACACAGTGCTCATCATGTCCCTGACCCTGGTCTGGTCCGGACCCCGCACAGAGCTGATCATGTCCCCCAACTTGGTCTGGTCTGGACCTCTGGGCGTTAGTGTGGAGTCACCGCAGGGCCTCACCTTCCTGGCCAAGCCCCTGAAAAGACTGATGGGGACACCAAGGTCCTGAGAAGAAGAATGGACCTGCGCAAGAGCCCAGGCCTCACGCTGTGTCAGGGTCACCATTCCTAAGTGCTCTGCAGCTTGCTCTGAGCTGCCAGTCCCACGAAATGGGGCTCCGTGGGGGATATGATGATGCTGGTGGGGCCCGGGTCAGGTGGCAACGTGAGCCAGTAGTGTTAACTAAGGGGCTGGATCCAGATCTGGGCCTTGGGAGCTCTGGGCCTGGGAGTCACATGGATATCGCTGCCCAGGCCTCATCACCAGCCACTCCAGGGTCATAGTTCTGGGGTGCAGCCTTGGAATTGGGCACATGTTTGCAGTGAACTGGGTGAACCCTACAGAACAGATCCATTTTCCATTCACCAGCCTGTACACATTTTGTTTCAAGACGTTGATCGCAGTCCTCATAACCTGACATGACCCTTTCTACCTCCTCCGTGGCGTCTCATTCCATTCCTCCTTTCCTGCCTTCTGAACCCTGTCCTTGGACACATATCATCTGCTTGATCTCAGAGAGCAATCTTTGTTATTCTAAGGAGTGTGTCCCTTCCTGGTGTTGTGTAGCCTACAGACCTATCTATTGTTAGGCTGAAAATAGAACCGGGGATGAGACCCGTGACAGGCCAAAGGGTGAGTACGAGCCAGAGTCTCGAGGGTTCTGCCAGTCTCAATACAGTCAGTGAGTCTGGTCTCGTTTTATGATGGGGAGTGGGAATCAGGAATTTCGAGGATCACTGCCCTAAAGGACACAGATAGACAGCAGGCCTAGAAGCTTCTCTCCCACACCACCCACCTGGGAGAGGTACTGCAGCCTCCCCAGGTCCTCACAGTCCAGGTGCCTCTTAGAACCCACGACCTCATCCACCTCTGCCTGCAGCCTGCGGGGTAGAGAAAGAAGAGTTAGTCCCCAGAAATCCTTCCCCAAGGGGTTGGAAGAGTTGGGGACAATTCTCGCTAACAGACACTGTCCCCTTATTGCTAAAGACATCAGCATCTCACTTTGAAAACAAAATATCCCCGTCATTTGCAAATAAATTCTAGGAGCGTTAATACATCCATCGTGTGTCTGCTTTTTGGAATCCACTGTAAGAAATGCATCACACACATCAGGATCTGATGGGCAGCTGCCAACAGCTGGGAAGAGCTGCCGGGGCAGCCCCCACACACAGGAGGGTCACTCAGTGGACAAGCGCCATTAGGAGTGCTGTCATTATAATCAGGTAGTGAATCAGCTCGGATCACACAGCAGCGTGCGCTCCCGCCTGGCCCCACTCTGGCCTCACCATCTCTGCTGTACAGAGCCTTCCGTTACAGCTGTTGCCTCAGGTCAGCTCCTTGAGGGTCCTCCTCTCTGTCAACGGATCTTACTCTTCCAAGCACGATGTCCTTCTTCAGGGGCTCCTGACAACACTCCCAAAGGACAAAGCCTCATCACCCTGGGCTATACACAGCACTTAAAAACAGGATGTTCTGCAGAAGGAGGGATGCTCAACTTCATCCCCTATACTTTGGGCAAGTCATTAGAAGGAGCCAGTCCTTGGAAAAAGGCATTATGCTTGGGACGGTGGAGAGTCAGTGAAGGAGGGCAAGACCTTCAACAAGACAGATTGACACAGTGACCGTAACAACAGGCTCTCGTGTGGCAGAGAAGATGAGGATGACACACAACAGGGCAGGGTTCAGGTCTGTTGTTCGTAGGGTCACTGTAAGTCTTACTCAACTTGACAGAACCTAACAACAACAACAAAAGTGTATTTAGTAACTGTTCAAGTTGAGTGGTGGGTGGATGGGATTTTTTTTATCTTATTCTTTCTCCTCTAGTCTATATTGAAAATTTTCCATAATAAAGCATTTAAAGATTGCGCTCATGTGAAACCTATACTTGGACCAGGAAGTGGTTGTCAAAGTAAGGGAAACCCTGCATGGTTCAAAATCAGAAAAGGCATGCATCAGAGATGCATCCTGTCTCCATATCTTTTCAATCTATATGCTGAACAGATCATTGGAGAGACTGAACTTGATGAGGAGGAATGTGGCATCAGAAGTGGAGGAAGGCTCATCAATAACCTGTATTATGCAGATGACACAACCTTACTTGCCAAAACTGAAGAGGACCTGAAGTGTTTGCTGCAGAAAGCCAATGACTGCAGTCTTCAATATGAATTAAAGTTCAACATTAAGAAAACAAAGATTCTCACCACTGGGCCAATTGGCAGCATCAGGATAGATGGAGAAGAGATTGAGATTGTTAACAATTTCAGCTTGCTTGGTTCCTCAATCAATACTTTTGGCACCAGCAGTCAGGAAATAAAAGATTAATTACATTAGGAAAATCTGGTGTCAGGGTCCTCTCCAGAGTGCTAAAGGGCAACAATGTCAGACTAGAGACCAAGGTGCACCTGGTCCAGGCCATCGTCTTCTCAATTGTTTGCTATGCATCAGAGAGCTGGACAATGACTAAGGGTGACGGAAGAAGAATCGATGACTCTGAGTTGTGATGCTGGAGAAGAGCATTGAACATATCATAGATTGCCAAGAGAATAAACAATTTTGTCCTGGAGAGATTGAAACCAAGTTTTTCCTTAGAGACAAGAATTTTGAAGGTCCATCTGTTACACTTTGGACATGTTGTCAGGAGGGACCAGTCCTTAGAGAAGGACAACATGCTTAGAAGGATGAATGGACAGTACAGGAGAGGGACACTCTGGATGAGATGGATTGACACAGTAACCAGGGTGATGGTGGCAGGTGTGTAGGAGACAGTGAGATTGGCTCAGAATAGGGCAGGGTTCACAGCTGTTGTACATAGGGTCACAATGAGTAACAGTTGACCCAATGGCACGTAACAACAACATATATAAATGATCAATATGTGCATGAAAAGACATCCTATCATCAGTTATAGGGCCTCGGTGAGGTGTCACTCCATACACCCTCAGGATTGTTATTCGGGGAAACCTAGGTCACAGCAAGTTGGTGGGAAGGCAGAGACTATAAAATGGTGCAGTGACCATGGGAAACAGTTAATGCAGGATTACCGCCCAACGCGGTCGAGTCCAACTCACAGCAACCCTCCCTCAGGTTTCCGAGGGCTGTAAATCTTTATGGGAGGAGATCGCCTTTCCCCTCAGGAGCACCTGGTGGATTTCAACCACTGATTTTTCAATTAGATGTCTGACATGTTAGGCTTTACACCACCAAGAGTCCTTACAATTGCCATGTGACCCAGAACCTGCATTCCTGGTTGTATTCCCAGAGAACGAATGTGGGTGCTGAGCGAAGAAACAAAATGAACTTGGACCTGAGTATTGACAGCACCCTTATTCACAGCAGTCAAAGGTGGAAACAGCCCAATGTTCAGCTGGTGAATGGATGAACATGTGTGGTACAGACAAATCCAAACCCACTGCTGTAAAGTGGAGCTTAACTTACAGAAGCATAGTGATGTCAGTTTGATGACTAATGTGTGCTTGACTCAGGCCACACTCTTTTCAATCAACTGCTACGCATCTGAGAGCTGGACAATGAATAAGGATGACAGGAGGAGGATCAATATCTTTGAGACAGGAGTGTTGGAGAAGAATATGGAATATTCCATGAACTAAAAAAAACAACAACAACCAAATAAACAACAACAACAAAAAAAAGCACACCACCCAGATGGGTTTGGAGACAGTATAACCAGCTCCGTGGAGGCAAAAATGGTGAAGCTTTGTCTCACATACCTTGGGCATGTGTTAGGAGATGCTATTCTTTGGAGAGGGACATCATACTTGGAAAGGTGAACAGTGGCAAAAGAGATGGACACAAAAATGGACTGACACAGTGACTGCAGCAATAGGCTCAAGTAGGTCAGAGATGATGAGGACGGCACAGGGCAGGACAGGGTTCTGATCTGCTGGTCGCTGTCAGTCACACTTGAGTTCAAGGCATCTCCCAACATGGCAGAGCAGGATTCCCCTACAGGGTTCTCAAGGGAGCACTGGTGGATGAGTGGGCACGAAGTTGTGCTGCCAATTGAAAGGCGGGCTGTTTGAACCCTCCAGTAGCTCCTTTAAAGAAAGGTGGGCAATCTCCTTTCGTCTGATTTACAGCCTGTGGAAACCCCCTCGAGAGGCAGCTCTCAGGCAGTTCTGAATCAGCAAGAGCAGTGAACAACAACACAGGGCTCCGGGTTGCAGACCGCTGTAGGAGCAGACCACCACTTCGTTCCCCCAGGAGCTGCTGACGGACCCAAACCACTGGCCTTTCAGTTAGCTGCTAAGTGTGTACAGTGAGCACCGTGGCTCCTGATCGGCGCATCGCTCACTCGTCGCCATTGAGTCAGAACCCACTCAGAGCTAACTCATGACTCAGTGTCGTCGCTCCTGGTCAGTGCATCACTCACTTGCTGTGTACAGCGAGCCGTGGTGGCTCCTGATTGGTGCATCGCTCACTCGTTGAGTACGGCGACAGCTCCTGATCAGGGCATCACTCATTCATTACCGTCGAGTTGGACCCACTCTCAGCTCATTACTCACTGCCATGGCTCCTGATTGGTGCGTCGCTCACTCGTTGTGTACAGTGAGCTACTGTGGCTCTTGATCTGTGCATCGCTCACTCGTTACCGTCAAGCTGGAACCCACTCTCAGCTCATTACTCATTGTCATGGCTCCTGATGAGTGCATCGCTCATTCGTTGTGTACAGTGAGCTACCATGGCTCTTGATCCGTGAATCGTTTACTTCTTACCTATAGTGAACCATGGCAGCTCCTGATTGGTGCATCGCTCACTCGTTGAGTACAGTGAACCATGGCAGCTCCTGATTGGTGCATCGCTCACTCGTTGAGTACGGTGAGCCACTGCGGCTCCTGATCGATGCAGCCCTCACTCGTTGAGTACAGCGACAGCTCCTGATTGGTGCATCGCTCACTCGTTACCGTCGAGTCAGAGCCCACTCATAGCTAACTCTCCCCCAGGTCTCCTGAACTGGAAATTGCACACGATTGCTTATCTTTTCCCAGCCGAGTTTCTGGTGGACTCTAACTGACAGAGGCCTGGCCTTTGGGTTTGTGGTGCAACCCCCTACAGAGCAGGCCAGCAGAGCTCCCCACAGATACAAGAGCGTCATAAAATAGCCACCCATATCCAGGAGTGAGGCTTTAACACATGCCTCACATGGATAGGAAGCCCTGGTGGCATAGTGGGCTGCATATCAAACTGCCAACCAAAACCTCAGCAGTTCAAATCTACCAGCTGGTCCAAGGAAGAAAGATGGGAAGTCTCCGCCAAGTCCCTTTTTCTGAGACAGGAGTTTGCATAGGCACAAGTCTACTCACTTTTTTTACTTGCTGTGAGTACAAACAAAGTGTGCTCATCTGTGTGCGTTTCCTGAGTATTCTCTGCTGGGGATAAAGACAGGGACCCTCTGAGTCTATCTGGGACTCAAATCAATGGCGTGAGTTTGGGTTAACAACATGGATGGATCTGGAAAAGATGGCACTATTAGACACAAAAGGGCGAATTGCTAGAGTCCCCTTCTGTGTGGTATCTGGAAAAGGCACATTCATAGCGACAAAGGTCAGTGGCCAGAGCAGGTCAGGGGATGGCAGTTATTGCTCAGCTTTCCTTTGGGGAGAATAGAAACTTCTGGAACTAAACCATGGTGATGGTCACACAGCATGGTGAATGTACTAATGCAGCTGAATCAAACCCCAAACCATGGCAAAAATGGGGAATGTGATGTCACACATATTTAATAATAAAATGGAAACACAGGATTGGAGATGACTTACAGTAACTCGAGATGTAGTGAGATACAGCAGGAATAGAAGCCAGTGGGCACACAGACGGCCAGAAACCCACCCAAGACTCGAGCCAGGAAAAGGGACAGAGGCTTGGCCATCCATCGTAGTGGGCAAGTCACCTCTGGTGGCCAAGAGCCCAGAGGTGGTTTTTAGCAATTATTATTGTCATTTCTCTGCATTTTCCAAATATTTTTATAAAGCGTATTGCTATTGTATTCTACAAACTCATGGACTGTTCTCTGTTCTCCAGTGTGTCTCCACAGCTGCACTTCTGTGCTCGGATGACCAAGAGTTGCCAGGAGGACCTCTGTCCCCAGTGCTGCCACCCCCATGTCTGCTTGCCTTCAGAAGGAAACCACTCTCTCGGCATTTTGTCCTTAAGGAAGCCAGGTGCCCCTCCGGGACTTTCTCCCAAGGGGGGCTCTCTGCAGCCCCAAGTCCAAGTCCCTCAGGAATACTGCTCAGGTCTCAGTGTCTGCTCCTGGATGGGAATTCTGTCCACGTGGAGTGGGAAGAGCCAAGGTCACCCACCCCTTGCCACAACCTCGGCCTTTGCCCTCCCAGAGCTTCCAACCCCGTGGCCTAAACAGACTCAAAGCAAATGTCTCCAAAGAGATGATGAATGTACTTGAATGAGATTAGGAGGGAAAATGCAGTAAGGTTAACTTGGGGTCCAGAGAAGGCTTCACCGAAGGGACAGGAGGTGTAAGAGGGGGGAGAAGAAGAGAGGGGAAGAGGAAGAAGAGGATGAGGAGTAAGAAGAGGTGGGGGAGGGGGAAAGAGGAGAAGAAGGCAGAGGAGGAGGAGGCAAGCAGAGAGGACTGCTGTGGCCGCGGTGTATGAAGAGCGTTACAAGGGCCCTGGGTGAGGGAAGCAGAGCCGTCTGAGCAGCTCAGCCACGGGGCGGCCGGAGGCGGCCCTCTGAGGCTGTGACAGCGGACAAAGGCCTCCCCCAGCCTCGGGCTCAGCCCATACCTGGCCACGATCTCTGGCTGGCGTGACAGCTCCATCACCGTAAAGGCCAAGTGGTTGGCAGAGGTCTCATGACCTGTGGGAGAGGAGAGAGGCGACTCCACGTGGGGACAGGGGCTGCAGCCCTCAGGGTCAAGGCTGAAAGTGACCGCAGGCTCCATCATTTCTGCAAAGCTCTGAGCCCTGGGTCGCCACTGAAGCTACTGACCAGCAATGAAGAAGGTGACAAAGTTGTCCAGCAGAACCTCGTCGTCCTGAGCGTCCTCTTCAGCTGAAGGACAAAGCAGACTCAGTCCCCAGCAGATGTCTGCTCACGTCCCAGCTCGCTCCCCACAGCTCACAAAGGAACCAAACACCTTTCCCCTCTGACACCAGACAAGAGACAACAGAGGCCAGCGTGGTCCAGACCTGACAGGCAGCCACCCTCCGAGGGTGCCCCGAACCTTTGAGGATCTGCGTGAGGATGTCTGCGGGAACGGCCTCCCCTCTCTTGAGGGCCTCCCGGCGCCGCTGGACCCAGTCCTTGCCAACCTGGCGCAGAAAGCGGATGCTCTCCCGGATCTCTCGGAGCTGTTTCCGCTTCCCTGGCAGAAACTGGAGGGGGGGGGGGTCCAGCACAATGGCCAGCTGCCCACAGGAGCCCGTCCCTCACTCCACCTCACTTGCCTTTAAAACCCCCAGCAGTATCAGCAAGCTAGGAGTCTGGAAGCATGGAAGAAAATTCTAGAAAAGGACGGCCTGAACCCAAGCATCAACTTCCCCTGTTATGCCAACCCCCTGGAGAGGAAGACCCCAGGTGAGAAGGACTGACACAGTGCCTGGGGCAGTGGGGGCAGGTGTGTCAGAGACGATGAGGTTGGCTCAGGACAGAGCAGGGTGATTGTTCACAGGGTCACTAAGTCGTAGATGACTTGACAGGACGAACAACATGTCAGATCCCTAGAAGTGATGGACGATGCCTTGACCAGCTTCATGCAGCAGTGAAAAGAAAGGAGGACCTCTGATGGGGGAGGGCAGTTGAGACATCGCCCAAGGAGGGACCACAGGCAAAGTGAAGTTGGGGGGGGTCTGCTGAATGAATGAGATAGTGTAGGGGACCACAGCTCAGAGGCTGAGCAGGAGGGGAATCTGGGCGTCAGCACCTTGGGTACCAGCTCCCCACCCCTGGAACAAGAAGGTGGTAGCCAGAGCCGCAGCAGCATCAGGCATTGTGGTGTGATGTGAGATCACCTGCTCTGAGGATCATTGTGCAGGAGAGAAGGATGAACCCTAACTTACCCAGGCCACTTTCATTTCAAGCCTCTGCTCTAAAAGGTGAAACCCAGATGGTTTGGAGGATGAAGGCAACTGCTTTAGATACACCTGAACTCATGACCCATTCTGAGAACATTTGTGAAGGAGCTCGGGCAAGTGGGAGCACACTGTGGTAAGGGCCGTGGGGCAGACTGGCTGGGTAGGGCTGCGGGGCAGGGCTGGCCACTGGGCAGGGCTGAGGGGCAGGGCTGCAGGGCACGGCCGTGGGGCAGGGTGGCTGGGTAGGGCTGCAGGCC